TATATATATGTATGTATGTATACATGTTCGTGTCGAAAATACTAAATTTGAATGAATTTGTTCTGTAAGGGGGTCGTTTGGTATGATGGATAAGAAAAAATAATCCTGAGATAAAATTTAGTACCGTCGTATCCCTTTTTTGGAAATTCTCACCATTTCTTGATGGACCCAATTCAATTCATTGGGATCTTTCATTCTAACTTTTTTTTCACTAATTATGTGATAAGTTATCTCATAATAGTAGCTATTTTTCAATGACTTTGCAAACGCTGGCTATTTTTCAATTACTAGTCCGAAAACTGGCTAGCCCGTGCTATTTTCACGTGGATAGCGGGACTGGGTAGACGGTCTATCTGTCCTTAAGTGGTATTACCAGCCATTCTAAAAGAGCAGTTGATAGAAGTACAGTCGGATCTTTCTATAACAGCATCACTATACAATCAGATCTCTTTATAACAATATCCATATATAACAACAATAAAAAATAGGAACAAACGAGGTTGTTATAGAGAGGTTTAACTGTATAATAATCATTTACTATAAAAACTAAATTTTTCTCGGAACATATTTTTATATTATATTATAATATATGTCCACTATAATACCGCTTCATTATAGCAACCAAAAATATCGGAACAAACCAGACTGCTATAGAGAGGTTTGATGTATAACAATCATTCAGTATAAAAGCTAAGTTTTTCTTAGAACAAATTTGTAATTATGCTATAATATATGTCCTTATAATAGCACTTCACTATAACAACCAAAAAATATCGAAACAAATGAGGTTGTTATAGAGAGGTTTGACTGTAGAAAAGTTATGTATGGTATATGTTATAATTTTAGTGAATTTTGATACATAAATTATGCTTTGCGTGAAAATTAGTAGGTTCAAATGAATTCGATACCATAAAATTGGATATGCCCCAAACAGTTTATTTAACAATTTAAGTCTTCATCTATACGATATTTCGTCCATTTTAGGTTCTATTAATTTTCAACATCTTCTTGTTTTGTCAAACAAATATTATTCCCTCAAGATAGTTCACTTAAACGTGGCAAATTAATATACACATAAATTTATCCTATTGTGATTATTATGAATAATTTTGTTCTTCTTCTCTATTTATCCTAATTTTTGGAAGATAATAGTGGTGCTCAACTGCTCATAAGTCACAATTGCAAAGATTTACGATATCGAAAACCAAGATTGAGAGACCAATATGACAAGCCAATTTTAGCTTCTCAAGTCACCAAATTACATGACAAAAATATCAATATCCATGTAAAGTAGCTTTGATGGGACGGAACATTTTTATAGAAAATTGACAAAACTATTATAAATATATTGTATTTATTATCCCCGTGAATAAATATTATCCCCGTAAAAGATTATTTACAGCTAATATTGTAACAGCTTACACAACAGCTTCGTTACTTCTATAAATAAAAGATATTTCAGTTTATTATATACATCAATTTGAAGTTGAATAATACATCAATTTTTCTTTATACTTATTTTTGATTTATTTACTTTATAATATTTATTTTATAACAAAAACCATGTTATCATCTTATTTAAACAAAATTCGATTGAGGTTGAAAAAGAAAGGTTGAAAATAGG